TTTTTAATTTTTTAATGCACGGCGTTTCGTTTGTTTTATCATTTGCTTAATTTGTGCGCGTCGCGAGTTGAATGTTGCGAGTTGAATGCACTCATTTGAAGGAGGTATTAGCAACTGCCGATTTCAAAGTGTTGCAAAGAGAGAGACCTTACGCTTTGGCAACAACAAGTTGAAATTTCCAAACAAATCTCGTTTACTTCAGGTGCCCTCACTTTCGAATTAAATAAACTGCCATCTCTGTAGCTCAAAACTGAACAAGAGGAAACTCTTGTTGTACATATAAATTATGTAATTATATATAATCTATAAGCTCTCCCTTTCAATAAACAGGACAACTGTTTCCAAAAAGAAGTAGCGTTGCTGTATTCCACAAATACAATTTTTGATAGAATTTGTGTTTGATTAACGTGCTTAGAAAATAATACTTCTTATACAGATCCCACTTTTTGCCAAAATGGATGCTGCAGATTGTGCTTTTTGGGAGGCATTGAGTAAAGGAATTAGAAAAGTAGAGCTCCCATAGAATTTGTGTTGAAGTGTTTTCTTAATTTAGAAAATTTGAATACGAGCATCAGCTTAGACTTCATTGCATTGCATTGCATTGGGAAGTTAAGATGGGTTCATAAATCTATAATCTTTGGCCTGGTATGCAAGATTAACTGTAACTAACAACAACAACAACAATAACAAAAACAAAGAAGCGGCAAGCTCCACAACAACAGCCAAGTGGCAGCTGCAACGGCAACATCAACAGCAACAGCAGCAACAGCTCCACATAATATGTGGCAATAGAGACGAATTTCAAGAAATAAAATACATACGTACATACATACATATGTATGTACATACGTACTCGCATACATACACAAAAAAAAAATAAAAAAAAAAAAAGTGCAAAGAAAATTAATAAACACGGCAGTGCGGCAATAATCGCCGGGCCACGAACCGAAACAAACTGAAATTTTTGCGCGCTTTTTGATTCTACGAGTTGCGAGTTGTTCAACAACTGAGTGAGCATGAGGAGGGAGGGATAATGCGATAAGTATGTATGTACATATAAGTGTAGCAAAAATATGGATGTGTATGGATATAAGTAGCACTTGTTCATTTATCATGCATATAGTAGTATGTACATACACACCATCTGCATTAAAATAAAAACAAACGCGGTGCGCTCTATGCTTTGGACAGCCCATAATTATAGCTGAAATGTAATCATATATAGGTACAATTAATAAAGCTGCACACACATACAAGTACATCCAAACATATCTACTACAAGTATGTACACATGTACAGGCTCGTACATGTGAGAGATACTAGCAACAATTGCCTGAGTCTATCTCGCTTTATAGCCCTCTATCTCCCTCTATATCTTACTATGCAATCGACAAACGTTTCAAACCACCCAGAAACTTTTCAAATTAGAATTAGAGAAAGTATTTAGAGCATTTCAGACTTGAAGTCGAAAATGACCGGAAATCGAAAAAATCAGCAACAAACTTTTGAAAGAAAGAGTATTTAGATTTAGACTGTGCGGATTATTTTCTTCTTAAAACATATTTGCGAATCAGTTTTTCTCTTTTGGAATCGATAGCAGCGGCCTCTTAGTTATTTGGCCAAACCAGCTATTTTAATTCAATGAAATGGAATTCCTTTTTTTTTTTTATTTAAATGCGTATATTTTGGGATAGAAGTATTTAAAAATAAGTCAGATATGCAGAAACTTGATTTCACATATTTTAAAGCATTAAACAAATATAGCAAATGATTTAATGATAGTTTTAATGTCAAAAAATTAATATGTATTATATTTTAACAAGATTTTGCTTGAATTTTTATTTAACGCCGTTACAAAAAGTGCAAAGCAACTTGCAAATACGAGGAATTAGGAAAACCTAAAACTAAAGAACACGCTAAGATCTTACCCAAAAAAGTCTTACTCATTAATCCATTGATCATCGAACATAGGCGATTTGCTTGAACTTCCACTTCGAGAGAAGTTTGTCAGCGAATAGCTGGACATGTGTATCTCAGCTTGTTTTTCTTTAACGCACTTTTCGCAGACACTCACGCACACACGCAGACTCGCGGGAAAATCCAGAATACAAGTTAAAAAAAAGAAGAAAAATAAATTCGCACTTCAAGATTGGCGCAGCATTGAGTCACAGATTTCTGTGATTTCTGGATTAGAATGAAAACGTCTTTTTCGTCGCGCTGATCGTGGCGACCAGTCGTTATCAATATACGAGTATGTGCATACAAGACAACAGACTCCAATCTATACGCGTGCTTTGAAGATCGAGCGCGGCACGTGCTGAGCGAACAATGGTCGTCGGGTGTTTGAAAGACAATCTTCGGCCAGTCCAAGCTATCAGACTGCGCCGCCAAAAGAAATGCTAAAGCCGGAGCCAAACGAGAGTTAAACTCGAAGAAAGAGAAGAAGAAGCAGAAGCTGCCACAAGTCGTCCCAATGCGCGCATGCGCAGCAGCAGCAACAACAACAACAACAGCCACGAGAAAGCCAAAGCCGAACACTATCGTTCGTTCGTTCGTTCGTTAATTTGTTCGGCTTTTTGTTATTGCTGAATATGTTTACAAACACACAACCGGCGAAAGGGGCGTAGTACATATACTTATGTATGTCTTGTGTGTGTGCGTGTGTGTGTGTGTGTATGTGTCGGTGTATTCGATGCGCTTTTTGCGCATTGCTGGATTTTTTTTCTTAGTTGCTTTGTGTTTTTATCTCAGATTTTTTTCACTTTAATTTTATTCAATAGATTCCATATCTGCTCTAAACATAGAAGCGTGAGTATTATAGCTGTTCTATGAAGCCTGCATTGCGCATATCTATTTAGAATATTCATTAATATATTTGATGTCCAATTAGAAGTGTTTAATAAACATTAAAGGGTTCAGCAAGTGCTTAGCGTTTGGAAGAATTTTAAGTCGGTTCACAAAATTGTTGGTAAATATACGACTTTTGATTTATTGAAATTATATTCATAAGGAAAGAAACTCAAAGACTTCGCATAAAATATTTAATGCTTTCTGCATAAGTAGAACAAGTATTTTTATAATCATATATTTTATAAAAATCAATTGATTTTACCTTTTAAGTACTGAGTAAAAAATGTTTGCTATTATTTCTATTATCAAAATAGCTGACCGTTTGGAATCCGAGTCGGATTCGTTATTAGATATTTTTGTCATTTTGTCAAAAAAGCCTATTTTATTTCTTTAGTTTTATTTAGCTTAAGTTCTCTATTGTATTGGCTATGTAAATATATATACATATATAGTTTTTTTTTTCTTTTTTCTTTTACATCAACTGCATTGTTTGTCGATGAAATAAATAAATAAATAAAAAATATTCAATATTCTTTCCACTATTGTATGCCTTCCATTAGTATTGCCTACATAGAGTATTTCAACTTCGAAGCGCGAATGGGGAAACTTGTGTTTTATGTTTTTATGGTCAAGCGACTTCTGCTGCCTGCCTCTTCATGGGCTTCTTGGCAGTGCGCGCTTCTGTGCTGCCGAACTTTTGTTTGGTTTATCGCTGCTAACGGCACTCGATTTCTATTAGTTGTTGGTTAAGAGTTTGCATTATCCATTGTTTTTTGTTGTTGTTGTTGTTTGTTTTTCACCAACAAGCGAAGTATGAAAATGTTGCCTTTGCCCTTCTTTGCCAGTCATTGATCTCCGTTGCAACAATTAGGCGACAGCAGCCTCAACTTCAAAATGTCCAACTCAAAATATTCATTCATGATTGCCGGCAATTTAAACGCAATCAATCAGACTTCAACGGGGCGCTCTAATGAGCGAACATCGTAGCAACAACGACGCACTTTCGAGCGCATTAGCTTTTAATTCGAGACGATTGACAGTGCAATTTATGTAATAGAATTATGAAAACACTTCATTAGCGATGCCAATGTCGATGTCGATGCCAATCGCGATAAAGATGGCAATGGCAAAGGCTAATAATGATAATGACCATATAACGACGCAATTGCATTCGTTTCATCGGTGGGAGGGTATATGACCGATTTTATTGGCACGCGTCTCCAATTGGTGACCGACGAACCATGAACTTTTAAATGGGAAACTCCGAAACAGAAATCGAACTCCAATGCCACGGATTAGCAAACAAAATTGTATCTCCGAACCCATAAAGTATATATATTCTGATTCAGCATGATGAGAGAAATCGATCTAGACATGTCCGTCCGTCCGTCTGTTCGTCTGTCCGTCTGGATGAACGCAAGGATCTCAGAAACTATAAAAGCTGGAATAACCAAAGTTGGTATCCAGATTCTCCTAGGTCCCCCCTATCCCCCCCCTTCTCCCGCTACAGAATTTCGTCAATACCGTCCATATTTCAAAAGCTACCCTAACCAAACTTTGCACACAGAATTTCTATAAAATATCTTTCCGGCGTCACATCTTTCCCAATACCTCTTTCGCATTTTATGGCTTCGTCTTTACAAAAGATATTCATCGCCTCCTGTTTGTGTTTCTTGGATCAGAAGTGGATGCCCTTTCGCGCATTGTCGAAGCCGCGACTCTCGTTCCTGTTTCGTTTTTATGGCTCTAGATGTGGATTAGCGTTCATCGCCATTTCCACGAAACTTAACAGGTTAGACTATATTGAATATTGCCACAAAATTTGCTTAAAATCGTGTGAGCGGTTTCGGGGTTTCTAGGGAATATACATAAATAAACACATACATAAAATCATAGTTGGTTTAGATGTTACCCGGAACAACTATTATTGGCGCCAACATTTCATATGTATAAGTACATATCGTTCTTTAAAATATCTATTGAAAAACTCTGAAATAAATCGTAAATTTGTATCCCAATTTGAAACAAAGTTATAGACGCAATTAAATTAAATATTTATATATTATGTGGTATGCGCAATTTTTAATAAATATTTAAGGTATTTCCTACAAAATACAACTAAAACAACATTTGTATTGAAATCCACCCACCTCATGGCCATTACGGGCGTTTCTGCAAGCATCCGCATACTACCGCCGAAGCGCTGTTCGCCGTCGATGCCCGCCATCATGCCGAGGCCATTGCGACTGAAGCGACTGGCATGGGATCCACGCTCTGAATTACATTTGGAGCCGCATAGCGAATTCTCGCAGTAGCGACAACATTTATTGTAGCTAAACGTTGAGGTGCAGAGAGTGCAGAACGAGTCCAGCTGCGATTCAGCCTGGTCCATGTCCTCCTCCTCCTCCATGTCATCCGCATCCATTTCCATGTCATGCATATCTGGCAAGAGTTCATTATTGTGTCGCTGACTTCGGAGTATCAACGTATTACTGCTCTGATCCTCATCTGAGCAAAAATTGTATTTCTCGCTCTCCGTGTCGTCTGCTAGACTACTGCTGGCTGCGCTGTCTATTCCGGAGGGCAAAGCAGGATCGTTGTTGGTGCAGTTATTGTTGCCATTGGGGTCGGAGGACATGTTCATGTTAAAGCTGCCTATGGGACACGAAGGATATCGGGCAAGCGGAAATTGGCGCACATTATACTTGCTGGTCATTGACAGATTCTCATTGAAATAGATGACATTGGCGCCAGCGCCCAACGTATTGTTGGGCTCACGCTCCCGCTCCCGCTCCCGATCTCGACTAACGCCAAGTTCATGATATTTGCGCAAAAATGCCGCATTGCAATCGGCGGCTGTATATTCATGCAATTTTTTCGGCTTGTGTATGGATTGCATCTGTGGGTGATGGTATAGTTGTTGTTGCTGTGGTTGACGTTGTTGTCCATGAGTTGCACTGTGCTCGGCGCCGGCATTGTTGTTGTGATTGTGCTGGTTGCCGCCGGAGCGTAATAGATCGAGCAAGCGCTGTTTGAGGTCGCGCATCGCAACATGAGCGCGTAATTTGATGACAGAACAGCTTTAAAGACAAGAAATAAAGACATTCTTTAACAAAAGTTATTTAACAGATACAAAAATCACGAACGTAGAGTACCTTCATGATTAGAAAAGTGTACTTCACAACCGTCTAATGAAGCTTTTCGATTAAAATTGCAGCTATCGATAGACGGACAGCTGGCCTGTGCACTTTGTGTTTCATAGCGTCGAGCTTTGAAACGCGTGCGCTCACATGTGCGGGCATTGCGCACTAGTTAGCAAACAATTTTTATAAATTAAACAAGCTTTTGAAATAAAACCATCAACAAATATTACATTAAAACATTATAAATAAAGAGCTTAGCACATTTAGGTGCCAACACCAAGTCGCGCCAAACACAAGTTATTGGAAATAATAACAGGTGCCTCTTGCGCTGCAATATTTGGGTTTTTTTATTTAATTTTTCTTAAACTTTCTTATTTCACAATATAGCAGGACTTGTCACCCAATCAGGACATAATGAGCTCTCAACGCGGCAATGTAAGTCGCACACGTGCACAGAAGCACAAAAACCGGTATGTCTTCAAAAACGATTTGCACGACAAGACGCCCCAGCAGATACGGCTCAACAAGATGCACGTGTCCACAGTCTGTCAGCACTGCAAGGATGTCATCGAGTGGAAAATCAAGTATAAGAAGTACAAGCCGCTCACACAGGCGAAGACGTGCACACGGTGCCAGCAGCGCAATGTTCGCAAAGCATATCACGTCATTTGTCGCGACTGCGCTGTTCAGGCCCGGGTTTGCGCCAAGTGCTTAAAAAGCGCTGACGAGGTGCCTATTGAGGCTCCGCAGCCAACACCACGGGAGGAGCAACAGCTGCAAGCGGAAATGGAGCGTCTTATCAAAAGCTTCCCGGAGCGTAAGCGACGTGCATTTTTGCGTTTCCAGGCCAAAGGTCGCAAGCTAGAACAGCAACATGAAGAGGATCCTGCCGATCCTGAGGCGCGGGAATTAGCCCAGTATGTGAAGCACACACGCGAGGAGCTGCTAGAGAAGATTGAGCAAATGAAGTTGGCAGAAAGCGATGAGGACGACGATGACTATGATGATGATGAGGACGACTATGAAGGTTCCGATGCCGACTCTAAGCAAAGCAGCGACAGTGAAGATGAGGAAAGAAGTGAACTCAAAGATACAGGAAGAAAGAGAGCAGAAAAGTAATTAGGCTGAAATAATATTTTTTCCTAGATAATTTTCAATAAATGATGTTGAAGTGAAAGCGAAAACTCGCAAAAACTAGCATAGTAATGCTTGAAGGTGTATCTAATTCCATCAAATGTTATGGTCAACTAAACTCGTTTATTGTTCTTTGAACAGCTCATACTTTATATTATATTTTAATATACGCAAATACAAATTCATAGCTAAACCTAGGGTGTCATAACGATCGAAACAAAAATCAATTATTTTATTTATTAGACGATGCTGTGCCCTCTATTATGAATGTGCGGGCCAGGTTGCGGGAGCAGGCATAACGCAACATGCGGACAAGCTCCTCTATATTCTCTACACGATAGTCCCGCAGGACGGTCTTTGAAGTTTGGAATGCGAACTCGGCCGTCTCGCGTTTGTTGCGCTCGATAAGCGGCTCAAGCTCCAATTCCAAATAACGCAGGATGGTGATAGTTTCCTTGGAAAAGAGCTTGGGATCTTTCGATTCGAGCAGCGGCAGGGAATCCATGAGCAGCGAAGGCCAAAAATAAGTTGGTGTTATTTTGGAATCCAATAAATTAATTAGCAACTCGGCCGCGGGCAAAAAATCACGTTTCCGATAGAGTTCATAAAACTCAAAATACTTGCAGAGGAAAACCAATCGTGGGGAGATAAACATGCGAGCACCGATATAGGTGATGACATCCTTGCAGAGCATAATTCCCGTTTCGGAATAGTTCTGTAAAAGATAATAGCAAAACTGTCACTAATTGAATTCTTTGTCATCTATGCAATGCTGCTATTACCTTTAAAATAAAATCGGTTATGCCATTAACCAACACCGGATCCTTAGAGCGTATGGCCCATTCTAGGGCGCTGCTAAAACGCTGTTCATCATAGCAACGTCTAGCGAGTACCTTGCAGATCGTTTGCTCCACATCCGCCAAGTTACGCTGCTTGGCCAAGGCTATCAATTTAAGGGATAGCCGCTCTGACTTCAGAGGTATATGAGACAATATTGTTTCTATGGCTTTGTAACCCTCCTGGCCACAAGAGTCCAAGTAGTCAATGCCCAATTGCCAGAGATTAAGGGAAGTCATCAAATAGCTGCCAAACTCCAAGAGCATTGACTGCCGCAACGATGGCAGATCGACTTTTTGTTGCTGACAGTAGGCATTTAATTGGCCGGAGTGGTGAATAAGATCGATTAAATGCGTAGCAAACCAATGGCTATCGTTCAGTCTTTGCGATTCATAGAGAAACATTTTAAGATCGTGCTGCATTAGCTGCATGATCATGCGACTCATGCTCTTCATCTCCCAATCTGGCTTTACGCGCGACCAGCGATTCAGCCAGGCGGTTGCGACCATGCGTAACTCAAAGGGCTTACAGGTTGGATTGGTATATAGTAGATAGCCAGGTAGAAATTCGTACCAGTCGTTCGACTGGGCCAGACCAGCATCCCATTTCTCGGTATTTCCAACAACTAGCTCCATTAAAATCTCCAATTCCGGCTCGGCAGCAAACATATTGGCAGCTATCTTGCGTTCTCCTTCTGCTCGCCAGAACTCCCATTGCGAGCAAAATTTTTGCATTGCGTAGCCATGCTGGTACAACGGCATGGCCTTCAACATATTTATGGCTGCCTCAAATGGGCCACGGTTTGCTTTTCGATTCTGAGTTAGAATAGCGGCTGTGACGCCTACTTCACCCAACATAATCAAGGTCTTCAGAGTGCTCCAATAATCATCAGAGTCGCTGGCCTCCTCTGCCATTAACAGCAAATCTGTGGCTCGCCCCTCGGTTAACGGAAAGTGAAAGCGAGTCCAGTCCAATAACTGTGGGACAATTATTTGCTTCTGCAGTCCCTGAATATAGAGTATCTCGAACAGCTGCCACAGACATTCGATCGCATAGAAAGTTGTGATCGCATCCGAGGTACAATGAAGACGTTGTTCGTCCATCAGCACCTCGGGTGTTGCCTTTGCAAGCTCGAGCTTCTCAAGGCAGGCGCGCACAATGCTGCGATAGGCCTGCGATATATTAACAAACTCGGCCTTGGCAGCCTTCTGGTCGAGCTTCTGCAATGTAGTGAAGGTGGTGTTGGCCTCGGCCAGCAAGCTGCGAAGGAGCGGCTCGCCATAGAGCGATGTTTCCTCCGCGATGTAGATGAGCACTGGATCCTCGGAGATAGCTCTTATGGCTTCGGGCTCTTCCGGCTTACCGAAAGCATCGGTATTCTTGTGCCGGTAAGCGCTCAGCGCCATTTTGTTGTTCGGCAAAAATGTGCCGGACAAGGTGTTGCCACAACGCGTGGCAAGCTTGTCCCCAAGCTCCTACAAATATAGAGTATTATTGTTGACAATGGACTGCAATGTCTGTACAAACTTACGAAGACAGGCGGATCGCTCATTTTAATTAACAAAACAAAAACCGTGCAGGCTCGAGGGCACAACGCGCAAATATGAACAAATATGTTTACCGGGCAAACCACTCGCTCCTATCAAATGATCTAGTTTTTTTTTTTTGAATTATCGATATTTTTTTGGCATCAGCTGTGAACTCATTCACACATATCGACGCAATCGTTGCGATTGCTGCTTACTTTAAATTGTCCGCTGGATGAGTTGTTGGTTGCACAAAATAAAATAATTTGCCGCAAAAGAAAAGGAAGCCAAGCTAAATAGTTTGAACTGCGATGGCAAGTAACATAACACAGGGTATCAATGGTCTGGAAATAGGGTCATATGATTTTAAAGCTGAAGCGACAAGCTGCGAAAATCTGGATGAAGCGCAAACTTCCCAAAAAATCACCGGCACCGGCGCCGGCGCCGCACGCTCAAGAGGCAAAGGAAAAACAAAGCGCGGCAATTCGAATTCATCTCACGACAGCAATATTGAAAAGGCAGGTGAGAATTCCGTATCACCTGCCCAACGTCAGCTGCTACACCGTACCCTAAGAGACTTTCTTCAAAGTGATGAGCCTGAAATAGAAATGGTGGGCCTATCTGCGGGAGAACGCCGCGTCGTCCACTTATTTGCCTTACAACTAGGCAATCTCAAGACACGAAGCCATGGCAAGGATAAAGACCGTGTCCTCGTCATTACGCGCAAGCAAGATGTCACGGACCTAGAGGAACAGGCTTCCACGAAATTTAAAGTAGACGAGCGTGTGTTGCAATACCTCGATACTGTCATGTCACACGGCCCTACGAAGCCGCTGGAGTTTCCAAAGCCGGCAGGTAGAAAGCAAAATTGGGGCAATGGACTCATTGGAACGCCAATGGTGCCCCCACGCAAGGCCCTCAATTTGCCACGTGATATTGTTGAAGAAGCACGTAATCTACCCATTGCCGAGCATCGTAGCGAAATTCTGCAGCTGCTAGACGAACATCAGGTAAGAGATGGAATTCGTCTAAGATTTGCCGATTTTCTGCAATTACCATCATTTACAGGTGCTGATTGTTAATGGAGCCACAGGATCCGGCAAGTCCACACAGTTGCCTCAGTTTTTGCTGGACGACGCCACCGGCTCGAACCGTCCTGTGCGAATTGTGGTAACACAGCCCCGCCGCATAGCCGCCATAACAGTCTCGTCGCGCATTGCCAAGGAGCGCGGAGAAGCATTGGGACAAACTGTTGGCTATCAAATACGCATGGAGAGTAAGTACTCCTATTCGAAATGGAAAATTATGATAATTTCCAAACCTATGGCTTAAAATGGTTATTGCTCAAGCAAGTAACAACTATAAAAACTTTTTAATGATGCCTAAATGTTGAGTAAATAAAAGATAAAAGCTTTGACTGAGCACTTCTCTGATAGGCGTCTATAATGAAAATTCTTTACTTCTAATTATAACTCCTCCATTTACAGATAAATGCAGCATAAATACATTGCTGACATTCACCACTGGCGGTTGCATGATGCGTGTGCTCGGCGTGGATGCCAAAAGATTCTTCAGAAAAACAACGCATCTGATAATCGACGAAGTGCATGAGCGAGATGTGGATACAGATTTCCTGATGCTGGCCGCCAAACGTGAACTGCAGCGAAATAGAAACTTCAAATTGATAATGATGTCCGCGACGATGGATTTGGAGAAATTGTCTACATATTTTAATAATGCACCCATCATTAATGTGGAGGGTCGATGCTTCAAAGTGGAAGTTATTCATCTGGAAGACACATTAAAATTGACTGGTTATATGACCGAAAACATGAAATGGTATCTGAAGAACTCTTGCACCAACGACCCACAGGAGTTGTTAGAGGCTTATTTGAGGAGTTGCCCACAATCCGTGCAGGATATAGACAATGATTTGATCATATCAGTGGTGGAGGTGCTCCTGAATCGTGGGCAGAAAGGAGGCTTGATCATTTATTTGCCTGGGTTGCAGGATATAACCAACTTAATGTGCCGCTTCCAGGAAGCTTTGCCGCATAAATCCGTGCGTTACATACTCCTGCATAGTCAGATCGACCACAACTCGCACAGCCAAGTGTTTCGAGTACTGCCAAACATCCAACTCAAGGTCATATTGTCAACCAATATTGCTCAGACGTCGATTACTATACCCGATCTCATTTATGTCATCGATTTGGGGAGAGCAAAGATAAAAACATATGATGCTAAAACGGACTCATCTGTTTTAGCCTGCGACTGGATATCAAAGGCTGATGCTGAACAGCGAACGGGACGTGCAGGGCGTCAGAGAAGTGGCATTTGTTATCGTCTCTACTCTAAGGCGCAGTACGAGCAAATGTCCGACTACCTGGTGCCAGAAATTATGCGACGCACACTCAATGAGATCTGCCTTCTGGCCAAATTGGCTGCCCCCAACGAACGTATCGCCACCTATCTGGGCAATGCCTTAGACCCTCCCAAGCCGGAGCGTGTAACACAGGCATGCGAGAAGCTCCAACTGATCGGTGTGTTGCACGAAAGACATGAAAAGGTCACCGAGTTGGGGGAGATTATTGCAGAACTACCGCTGGACGTGCAGTTGGGCAAGTTCCTTATTTATTCATTGTATTATCGCTGCTTTGGCAGTGTGAGCATTATAGTGAGCTTCTTTACGGTGCGCGATCCGTTTATAGTGCCCACAGATCGCACAGAGCGGACGCAGCAACAACTTAAGCGTTCGCTTTTCGGCATTGACCAGAATAGCGATACACTCGGAATAGTGAATTTATACAAGGAGTATAAAGGCCGGTCGAAAAGAGACGCTGTGGCTTATTGCAAAGAAAACTTTTTGAGTTTACAAAGCATGGACATGTTTGTTGGTGCCGTAAGAAAATTGCGCGATACGGTATTCCAAATGTTTGAGATCCACATTGATGTGTTTGAATATGACACTAATAAGGATATTGTGCGGCTTGCAATGGCAGCAGGCCTCTATCCTAATGTGGCTAACATTGATAGGTCTAGAAAGAAACGTACGATCGTCACGGGCGGAGACACGACGGTACAAATATCGCGAAACTCCTGCCTACAGAAAATAAATACAAAAAATTCGTCGCCGTCATCAGAGGACTGGATTTGCTTTGTTGAAAAAAGACACAATATTGGTCAAGTTCTATCTATAGAAAACAACACCTTAATAACAACATTAATTGTGGCAATGCAATGCGGAAAACAGTATTTCCTACAGCCGTGCGATTCAGAAAAGGAGACATTGCTCTGCCTGGACTCGTGGATACGCATCCAAATGGATGAAAAGTTCTGCTTGAAGTTGCTCAATTTGCGGGCGCAACTTGAACGCGAGTTTAACATACTTGTGAACTTAAGAAAGCTGACCCATGAGCATTCGAAAGCCCCCGAATTTGCCAGCAAGCTCTTGTCCCTGCACTCTACTTATCGCATACCATCTGCAGCTTCATTGAATGAATTCAATGAATAAATACACCTTCCCAACGCACCATTTCAAGACATCAAGGAGACCAACACCCAATCACATAATAGTACAAACACATTTATGTTTCAATGTAAGTATCTAAATACGATATACTCGTAGTAGCAGGACAATTATTTTCTGGTCATCTGTATATTTTATAAATGTTAAACTAAATGTAAAACTACGAAAGGCCCGAGAGCTCACAGAAATCTACGCTCTCAGAGTTTATGCTTAAGTTGTATTTATATTTCTTTTTGTTATAGTTTACTGTACTCACGAAGGATGTGGCATTGGCCTGATTCTTATTCAGAACCAGCCAGTGCATGTGGAAGGTAAACAAAAGAAATGATGATGTTGCATTCTCATAAAGAATTTATGATAAACACAAGTATGAAATGTACATACCTTATACATTGGTATTGGTACACATACTAAGGATAAGCTACCGAGACTGTATATATAGTATAGTATGTACATACTATGTGAAATATCTTGTAAAAGATAAAAGATTCCAGCGTACAACGCAGCACAACGTGCCAAATAGCATCTCGTTGTTGCAATCGATTTAAGGAGTAGAACATACATATACAAGTATATAGTTGTAGAAGTGATCAATTTTGTTCGTTTAACAATGTTTTCTTTAGTAGCCAAATAGCACTGAACATTTATGAGTTTCTTATTTATTACTTGTATTTACACTCGATACGAAAGAGAGCACCAATGTAAAATGGAATTTTTTTGAAATGTACAACAAATAATGCTAATAAAATTGTTTTACTCCAACTATGGATACTGGGTCTGCTATTAAGTGTAGACTAGAATCTCCCTGACTGACGACTAACTAAGTATTCGTAACTGCCATACTTGATACCGAGGAAGATTAAAGTTGAAATTCTGCAAATGTGATTTTCGGATGTACTTTGATTAATACAAGTATGTATATATTTTGACTTTGGATTGGCACGACTTGAAACTTGGCTCAAAAACCCATTTTAAAGCCTGCACCTTCTATATGCACCATAATTGTCGTATGTTGCAGGCGGGAGTGGATGTTGGCGTTGGATTTTGACGCAAAGTCAATGTCATTGTCAGTAGCACCCTGAAGCGACTCTCTGAGGCATGCAGTTGTGCTCCAGTGCTCGACTTAGTTGAACTGCCCAACTACCAAGTTATCTTGCGGTGTCAGATCACGTCGTCGCAGTTGTTGTTGTTGTTGTTAATGTCACTGCTGTCGGTTGGCAGTGCAGGCCAAGCCCCCGATTCGAGGCCAGAGACAGACAGAGACAGCCTCAGCCCATTCGGGCGCTAAAAGTAGGGAAAAGCTAATTGCATAGACGATGAGCACAGTCAATAAACTTGCCCCATTGTTGTTGCCGCTTGCTGTCTTCAGTGGCAGGCAGAAGGCAGCAGCCAGCAGGTTGGCCCCCAACAATGGCAAGACAGGCAATGTTCAGCGATAAAGAAACAAGACACCGAGACACAACAGCCGAGCAACGAGTGTGTGAGCGTTGGAGGAGCTTCGACATCAAATGATGCAAAGAAAGTGAAATTAAATTGTTTCTTTGGCCCGGGGGCGGCTGCAGTAATGGGTGGACTGGCAAGTGGGCAGTGGGCGGGCAGGTGATGTTGCTCGTGTATGTAGTGCCTGTCTCTCTGGCAACTGCACGGACTCTGTAATTTGGAGGCTTACGACTAAGAATGCTTACAATAAGATGAAAAGCAAGATATACGATCAGGGGGGCAAATTATTATACACAGACTCGTTGGATTTGAAACTACAAGTATTCCTAACTCTCAAAGAGGCCTATTAAAGAAGAAAGAAATGTTATTGTTTTCTATTATATCAGCCTTAACTGGCAGATATTTTTAATACCCTTTACCCGTATATTCAGAATCAGCATGACGAAAGAAATCGATCTAGACATGTCCGTCCGTCCGTCTGTCTGGATGAACGCCTGGATTTCGGAAACGACCGAGCGTACATAAACAAAACTTGGTATGCAGACGCTCCTAGTTCTTAGCCTATACGAGTTTATTTTACTTTTTTGAATTCTTCCCCCCTTCCCCCGCCCCAGAATTTCATCAATACCGTCCACATTTCAAAGTTACATTAACCAAACTTTGCACACATAATTTATATTTAATTATCTACTTTCGTTTCAAATTTCCTGAATTTCCTGAATCTGTGAATTATAGGAAAAGTTATTAGCGAAATAGTGTCACTCCGGTACTACGCCCACAAGTTGCTGCATCAAGTGCGCTCTTCTTCTTCATTTTGCTGTACATTTTGAAATCTTCATACATCTTTTGAAAAATTTGTTATTTATCGTATTTATATATTTTAGTATCAATCGGATTGCATATACAAGTAATTTGTTGTATTGGGATCGTACATTTTCAGGGTACTTTCCTCTTTTTTTTAACCATTTGAGCCAAACCTCAAGTCCTCGCACACGGCCTAGAGAACTTTAATCTGAAAATTGATAAGCCGGATATCAAACCATAAAACTTTAAATCTATGTATAATGAAATGTTATCTAAGAAAATTTTATGTTTTGTGATTAGTGCATTAATTTATAAGATTTTTTCTTATCGCACCAGGAACTAATGGTAAATAAATAAAACTGATGGACAAACATTTTTATACAAGTAAGCCCAATGGGTTGCACTCTGTCTTTTTTAATACGCCAGTCGGAGAATGCGAAATAACATGTTGCTGAGAAGTCGCGTGCCGCGAATTCAATTCAATGCGCCAGTAATTTCAGCAGCTCTGTCATTCTTCTCTTCAAGGTGCATTTCGAGAGCGAGCATTATGGATAATTTGAATAAACTAACAGTAACGGTTGCCACAAGACCACAACAAAGCAAATCAAACGAGATGAGATGAGGTCTCTGGGGCGTTCTGCCATTTGGCGAAGTCAGCATTTCTTGGCTTTGTCTCCTTTTCTCCAACAACAGACACTCGCATGCCAGTTCAATTTTTTTCAATATCCGTTGAACAATTGAGCAATTGAGGAGCAGAAGTAATGAGTAATGATGACTTTGGCAGCTCCCTCAGCATTGTCGCAGATGCATTGAACTTGGCACAGAGGCTCAAGACCTGTCCCAAGACTAAAAGACCAGACAATGCCACAAAGAGCAGCAGTTAATAAAATTCAAAATCAATTGACGCGCGCTTTGAATGCCGCAAATCGACTAAATCGCACTCATTGTGCATCGAATCCACCAACAATGGAAAACAATCACAAACGAGTTGCACTTGTGCAGTGTGCAGTGTGGAGTGTGGAGTGTGGCAGAGGCAAGTGCCAAGTGGCAAGTGGCAGTTGAATGCACTGCAAGCAATGCAATTAAGTGGTAACTGCTTTGTGGCAAGCGCTTTTCAAGCTTTACAAAGGGCCAGACAGTTTATCGGTTTTAGCTCAGCATTTTTTTCAATACTGGGTCAGACCAGACATGAAAACCAAAAATGGTGTTAGAAAATAAAGAGTGTCCAACATTGATCACAAAACAACATTTGCTGATAGCGTGTGGACAGAGATTGCATTTATGGCTTTGACTTCCATAAGAGTTCACCTATTTTCGAGTCAAAATAGTCCAAAATGATGAAAGTTATGAAAAAATCACTAAAAACGGAGCAATGGCGAGTGCTTTGAGGGAAATAATAAAAACGTTATCTGCCTAAGGATTGGGGGAATATGAATACCAAGTTTGGTAATTCTAGCTCTTATGCTTTCCGAGACTCTAACGTTCATACTGACGGACATGGACACTCCTCCAGTCATATTGATTCTTCTCTGTGTTACATATATTCGTACTGAAAACAAACATAGGACTATGTGGAGCACATATTCAAAAAGGAGTGGTTGCCTCGATCTGGTCAGGAATCTATCGATGAGGTGTCGGAAAATTCATAATTACTGGCGATGAAATGTGGGTTTATGAAAACGATATGCCAACCAGTTTACAATCGTCCGGATGATGCCATAACACTGCTACCAAAAGGAAAGATATTAATTTTGAATCTTGAATAAATAACAACATTTATAACAATTTCCGGGAACTTTGTAATCACAACCTAATTGGGGACTCTAGTCAATTATTGTCTCTATTTTACATTTAAGATTCAAGAAAACTCAAGTACAATCTAAAGTAGTATGGTATGTACTTTAAAAATTAGGTAACCAGCCCATTCGATCTAGATCGTATCGTTCTAGTTTTTGTCGAGTGTAGCACCTTATTTATTCAATATCAATATGCTACTGTATAAATTAGATAGCTCCGTATACTTACTATATGCCATTAAATTCAACACGCTTCGCTTTCCCAATTTCCCAATTACTTGTACGAATATGTTTTGTGTACGTCATGTGGCGCCTATTAAGGTTTTTGGCAACTAATGAAGCTTTGGGCCCATACAGTCGCACTCAATCGCTCTCTGCTCAATCAGTTACAGTTATATAAGCAACCAAATTGATTTTGTAGTCGTCGCCCTCGGGCCGACGGGTTGCTGCCACAGTTGCCAACACAGACAGACAGTTCGGTCAAATAATGTGTGAATAATGACATCACCATGGTGCCGCAGGTGCTGGCGAAGAAAAGCGGCGAGAAGACACGAAACGCGTTTTGGTAATAGAGAAATATTTTCCCAGATGCATGTGTCGCATGAGCTGCCTTTAGGGGCGTGGTACCATCAACATTGTGGCACACAGTGGAAATCGCTTAAATGCGACTGCATCGAATCCAAAACTCTTTAAACAAATTATCTGCGTTTCTTTTTATGAAGACATCTTTTTTAAATGTCCTTTCCGCACCAGCAGCAAAGTTATAAGAGTCTACAATTCTAAATGTCACGGAATATAGAAAAAGCATATGGAATCGGATAAGAATTTCTTTTTTGATTGATTCTTTTATTTGGTTCCAGTGCAGATGGAAATAGGCAAAGAAATGTCTCTTAAAACAGAAAATTCTCAAATCCAACATCAATCAGTTGATGACAATCATATACAATTATATAGAGATATAGATTAGATATATGTAGTTTACAATCGGAATTGATAGGCTTCGTATAGACCTTGGAAATTAGGTTCAAATTTTGAACTTCAAACCCACTGGAACAATCATTTCCCCCTTTTTTTTTTTGAATAAATGCTATTAAACTAATAAATGTATGCAGCTAAATTTGTTTTTACACGGTAGATTGGTTCTTAAAAAAGTCGTGTAAAAAAAACCCAATTCTCTTTTTAAACGGTTTTGATGTAACACGGATAGATAATTTAAAAATTGCATATATCTTTAGAGATAAGGAACCAATCACCAATTTTTCCATATGATCAATATCTTTTTTTCACGGTTGTTTCTGGAACCCATCTACCGTGTAAAAATAGAATTAGGTGTAGTTCCTAGAGGTAAAGCTGATTTATTTCACAAGTTTCAAAAACTGTCCTATCTTGTGCCTCAGTTTTCTTATAAATTTCGATAACCGCATATAAATTGTATCTATCAAAACTGTTGTTTTCATTTTGTATAGCATAAGGTATATTGCGATAAGAACTAATTAAAATGTTTTTTGCTAAACTACAAATTTTTGAGTTATGACAGCCAGGGATCGACAGACATCGCTTAGCCTTAGAATTAATTGTGTTGGTTAAATTATTTTCAATAATTACAATAGAAATGCTCGATTTCTCGTATAAAAGCAAAGGTTTAGTGATGCAAGTATGCATCG